GGACGGCTTCCCGGGGCGGCGCGGGGTCCTGCAGCCCTAACTCGCTCTCCTTTTGTCTCTCTCCTCCAAGTCAAGTTCCTGGAAGTCATCAAGCCCTTCTGTGTGATCCTGCCCGAAATCCAGAAGCCGGAGCGGAAGGTGAGTTCAGGAGGGCTGGGGGAAGCCCTGCGCCCGTTGAAAACGGCCCGGCAGCCGAGTGGACGCCCCTCCCCCGGGAGTGTCGGCGTGGCCCGCTCTGCGGGGAGCTCACCGAACCGTCGTGCTTGCTTTGGAGCGCCGTTTGTGAGCGTCCGCCGGTGCGCAGAGCCTCGGGTGTGCCCTGCCACGCGTAGTGGATGCCGGCCGGGAGGGCGCGAGGCCTCGGGAGCCTCAGGGGACTCCGATGGAGCTGCCTGTCCCTTCAGCCCCAACAGGAGCAGGTGGCGGGTCTTCTAGGAGATGCTCTTTGTATCCCGCTGCCGCAAGGAGCCCAGACCTGTCCCTTTCGTCTGTACATTGAGTCTGTACCTTTCCGTGGACTGTCACTTACTGAGAATAAGAGCATTTGCGAACCCTGCTTTTACAGCAGGTCCATTAGAACACGGGAAGATAGGAACGTAGAGGTAGGGTGAAGGTTTATCAGAATGTTCGCTGCTGCACAGCTACAGACCAAGACAGTGAGTGTTGCCAGTGTAAGGAAAGATCCTAAGCAACGAGGAAAACATTCACTGGGTTCTTAAAGACAGTTACGAGTAATAGGTTTCTGTCTTCACATTTTTTTCACGTGCCCCACATATGTGCTGCCTTTGATGAGCTAATATGCAGAGATCTGTGTGTGCGAGTGTGTGCATGCGTGTCTCCAGTACAGAAGAAAGAGCATGGCTCTAGAGGCAGGTTTGCTAGGGTCCTATCCTTCACACAGTCCCTGGTGTGACCTTGGCCTTGTAACTGCAGTGGATGAAGCAGTGGAAGGGTGCGCAGGGTACAGCAATGGCTCTGGAAGGGATTGCCCCTGGAAGACTTGGTGTCTGATGGCAGCTGTGAAGGAAGAACATAAATTACCCTGCAGAAAGCGAAAGGAATTCTAGGCATAAGGAACAGAGAGTGTGCTGAGGCAAAGAAGCCTGATGGGAGGGAGTGTTAGACGTGGTTTGGTATTGACAAAACAGAAAGGTGTGGGGGGAGCGGCAGGAGCCGGGCAGATTAGAAGTTTGCTGTGGAGGTGGCGTAGGAAAGCGGAGGGGCTGAGAGGCTTTTGCAGCAGAGGGAGAAGAGGGAGTAGCTAGGAGTCAAGGGTGGGTTGGGGGCTGCTGAGAAGCCTCGGGTGGACAAGACTTGGATAAACAGATTTTGATGTTTTGCTGTTGAATCTGGCTGCATCCATGAGAGGAGACTTGGTTATTAAAAAACGAGGTTTGTAAAAATTGTCCACTCTTTTTTCCCTTAAAGTCTCACTTCAATACAAGCTTGTTAGGTTACTGGTCAGCCTGAAGCGGTGTTGCCTTCCCATGGCCTCCTGATTTCTTGGTGGGGGGAAGATGACAGGTGGGGGAAGGGGAGCATTCTCAAGAGGAAGAGTTCTTGGGTTCACCCCACCTTCACGTGGAGATCTGAGTATCGAATCCCCGTTGCCTGTGTGGTTGTCTTGTCGAGGCCTGTCCAGGGAGGCAGACATGGAGGACTGCAGCCCCAGGCTGACCAGAGAGCCAGGACCCCGACTCCACACTCACTTAAACTTCAGCTTGAAAGAGTATTTTTTAAGAATACGATTTTGTTCACTTAGTACTGTCGCTCACAAGGTACTTCCATGTTGTGATCCTTGGTCCACACAGTACTTGTTAAGCCCCCTGAGGCTCCTCCTTGCTGTGCAGGCAGCAGGTGCTGGTGAAGACACTTAGCTTTCAGAGCAGAGGACCCAGAAGGGTGCCCGCTCTACTGTGCAGTCCCACGCGGGCCTTGGGCAGGGGTCTCAGCTTCTGTAATGATGCTGGTTAGTCATTTGTAGAATGATTCTGTGTAGTCAGTGTCCTGCTTACATGCCAGATGGGATGTGAGAAGTCTTAAACAGATGCTGCTGGTAGTGAGTAGGCTGAACGTACAGCTCTCCCTCCTCCAGTAATTTTTTATTCATGAAAAATACACTAAGAAACAATCACAATTATAAATTAGCTGAATACAAGAGTCTGTCAATTGCAAAACCCTTTCAAATGAAACGTGGTTGCTCACATGTTGTAAGGGCTTGCCTGATTTGGGAATTCTTTGCTATTGCAACGTTCTTGATCTTGGGTCTGATCCTAAACTGTCCACACTGATGGTTCAGAGCATAGGCTTTGGACTCAAACCCACTTCAGCCATGGGGTTTGGGACAAATTACTTAGCCTTTTCAAGATTCAGTTTTCTTGTTGCAAAATAATAATACTGTTACATGGTGTGATGACTAAACGCGACGACACATGTGAAGGTTCTGCACATGTGCCTTGTACGTAGAAAGCATGCAGTTTGTGTACTTACACTTTGGTGTTTGCATTTGGTACATGGTTCGGAGTGTTCAAGGCTTGCCTCTCCGATGAGCAGAGAAAGGGGTTTGATCTGAGTCCATTTCTGTTAATTTGCTTGTGGAGATAACTTGCTGCCTTGATTCATTCTCTCCAACTGCAGATTCAGTTTAAGGAGAAAGTGCTATGGACCGCTATCACCCTCTTCATCTTCTTGGTGTGCTGCCAGGTGAGCACGGCTTTTGGGCTCCAGTACCAGGGCGGGGGGTGGGGGGAAGCCGCGTGGGCTGGAGGCCAGGGCACCAACTCCTCTCTGCTTGTTTCCAGATCCCCCTGTTTGGCATCATGTCTTCAGACTCAGCCGACCCTTTCTACTGGATGAGAGTGATCCTCGCCTCCAACAGAGGTATGGCGGGCCTCTGTACCTCTCTGTATGGTGTGGGCTTGGCAGGCTCCTTCAGTGAAATCACAGGCTTCAGCTTTAGGTGGCGTTCAGAGGGTTGGGAAAGAATGTTGGTGCGCTGTGCTAAAAAGCAGCCTTAGGAAGTGCTGAATTCAGCACCCAGGCACGTGGCACCTTGGGAACCACGTCTGAATGCAGTACGAAACCTGTAACAACAAGGTAAGTCTGCACCATGGAGAATTCTAAGAAGCGTGGGAAGACTAGAATGCTTTTTAAACAACTGAAATGACATTTTTACCTACCTTTCTCCTGTTTCGATAACATTTCTTTAGAATATGTAATTTGCTTCTCAGCCGCATCTTTTTCATACTACAGGTTACGTATGTATGTCCAGAATAATAAACGTGTAACAGCGCTTTGAATACTCCGACCGGGTGCCTTTCGGGGGTGGGCTTTAGCATTTACACTGATACTGCTTTCGATTAACTCACTTTCAAAATATGGTGCAAATTAAGTTCAGAACAGTTGGAAGTACAGCTCATTTTAGCATAATGTAAGGTAGGGGTTATTCACAACCAGATACAATAGTGCAGGCCTCTTTTCCAGACTCTGGAAATTATTTGAATGTTACTCTTTTTTATTTATTAACTAATGAAGAGATGGACATTTCTTATCTCTGTACAACCAGAATGAATCTGTCTGTGGGGAATTTAAACGCCGCCATCGGTGTAAACGCCATTTGACTTCCTAAACAGAGTAAGATGTTGCCTGGAAACTGAGCAGAGTGAATTGATTTACTCTCTTATTGTGGCTTTTGGGGGTTCTTCCCTGAATTGAATACTGCTGGCAGACCGAAACACACCGGGTTTGTGTCGGGGGACACAGCCGGTTTTGCTCACTCATGTTCTCAACCGTGTTTGGCTCCTCGGAGCTACTGCTGACTGCATTGTGCCTCCCTCTTCCCTAAGGCACACTGATGGAGCTGGGCATCTCCCCCATCGTCACCTCCGGCCTCATCATGCAGCTCTTGGCTGGTGCCAAAATAATTGAAGTTGGCGACACTCCAAAAGACCGAGCCCTCTTCAATGGAGCCCAGAAGTGTAAGTGGGACTTTAAGTAATGTTCAGGTGCCTGTAGTTGAAAATTTGAATTTGCGACAAAGTTTAGGGCATACAGAGTTTTTTTCTGGTTTTTTTGGGGGGTTGGTTGTTTTGAGAGGAGGTGGTGGTTTTTTGTTTGCTGCGATGTCCCGGCCTGGGCCCACAGCCCTGCAGGTGCCCTGTGGCCTGTGTTAGAGCACTTGGGGCATGCTGGGCGGTGGTGGGGGGTGTCGGCACCCCAAGGCCACGTGTCCACGGGAAAGGGCAGGGCTCTGAGGTGGTGCCCTCCACTGCCAGTTTCCTTACCACTTCGGGGGAGCTGTGGCTCCTTTAGTTCAGCTGAATGATGTGTGTCAGGTACCAGTCAGTGCCTGGCACGTGGCAGGTACTTGACAAGGCTTTTGTTTTTTTTTCTGGGAGTTCAGGATTTGGCTTAGGGAAAGGTGATCCCCTCCACTCAGCTCTGTGACCTTGGGACAAAGCGGACAGCTCTCACGTCCCAGTCTGTACACCCATAAAAGTGGGGACAACAGTGGTATTTGCCCAACAGTAAATAACAAGTGGCACTCGTAGCAGTGATGACCAGTCGCCAGCGTTCACCAAGTTCAGCCTCTGAGTGTGACTGACGCACAGTAATTAGGAAATGGGGTGTATAGTCTCCTGCCCAGCTGTGTTCTTCCACGGCAGCGCGCTTCACAGGTCTTAAGTCAGTAGGTTAAAGAGTTGAGCAAGTAAGACGAATCTAATTTAAACGTGTCAGTTTCAGACACAAGTCAGGATTTTAAAATATATACATGCATTATTTTCAAAAGCACAAATCAGCTGTTTTCTCTTTGGTCTTGGACAATTTTTTGAATTTTTTCTGCCTTAAGAATTCAGTCTTGGCGTGGACATAACTCAGTGGTAGAGGGCATGCATAGCACACATGAGGTCCTGGGTTCAGTCCCCAGGACCTCCATTGAAAAAAAAAAGGATTCCGTGTAATTGAGTGCTTTTTAAGATATCAAACAGGGACTACATTTGGGAAACACTCAGGAGTAAAATTTTATTTTTTTGGCAAACTAAGCAGAAAAGCTGAAATTGAAGCCTGACCCACACTCAGAGATCTGCCTGGTAACATGTAGTCAGTAAAACGTGGTTCCATCACACGTCGGGGTGGAGTGTAACGCGTGATGCGGGAAACAGGACCGGCACACACGGGGAGCCTCCACTGGGCCAAGAGCACCGTGTGGCGGAGGGAGTGTGCCGGCCGGACTGGTGGCATTGTGGGGTCCTCCTTTAAAAAGCATGTTGAATAGAAGGGGGCACTTTATCCCAGAGCTGGCATGCTGTGCCCTGGGCTCGGACCTGGAGCATGAGCCTGCTGGGCAGCCCAGGCGATTGGTTCCCCCGGAACCCGCCTGCGTTTGGGGCTGTCACCGACGTGTGCCTGAGTGTTGTCTTGAGCACCTGTTGTGAGAACCACGTTTCAGCTCGTGTCCTCCTCCCGTCACGGAGAGGAAAGGAATTTGGGAGAAGGTGGAATTAAAGAGCTCCGTGCTTTAGTTGGAAGTGTCTGAGTTACATGTGCTGGTGTTCCTGGACGGCTCCTCGGAGGCGGGCCCGACAGTCTCCGTCTCCTCCGGGGCTGCCCACCCGGGTGGGTGTTGGCAGCTCTCCTCGCGGCCCTGGGGCGGGAGAGGGGAGCCCTCCTGAGACCTGGTTTCTTCTGGCCTGTAGTGTTCGGCATGATCATTACCATCGGCCAGTCCATCGTGTATGTGATGACGGGCATGTACGGAGACCCCTCCGAGATGGGCGCTGGCATCTGCCTGCTTATCACCATACAGGTATGTGTGCTGGCCCTTCTGGGAGCCCTCACGGCCACACTCCCTGGGTGACAGAGCTGAATCGAGCATAAAAAACCACCGAGAAGAAGCCGGAGCCCTGTGCCTGCCCTTCTGAACTCATAAGGGAAGGAGCCTCGGCCGCCGGGCAGCGTCCACGGAGCCCTCGGCGCTCGCCCCCTGCAGAGAAGCCGCCCCCTGAGGAGGCAGGCCGGCCACCCGCCCGGCTGCTTATGTGCGTTTGTCCGTGTCCACAGCTCTTTGTCGCTGGCCTCATCGTCCTGCTTCTGGACGAACTCCTGCAGAAGGGCTACGGCCTGGGCTCCGGGATCTCCCTCTTCATCGCCACCAACATCTGCGAGACCATCGTGTGGAAGGCGTTCAGCCCCACCACCGTCAACACCGGCCGAGGTGAGGGCCCCGGGCCCCTGGGCGCGGGCTCTGTGAGGAGTGCCAGCGGTGCCCCACTCCGAGGAAGAATGATCAGTTTAGCTACATCTCTTCTGACTTCTCTGGTGCGTCTGCAGTGGTTTTTAAAACAGGCTTATGCTCGTGACAACACACAGCTGGCATTTGTCACGTCCAGAGTGTCGTGGGCATTCGCTGGCCAGAATACATTATCCCGCCTCATTTTTCTGAGCACAGGGCAGATGGCGCTGCAGGGGTCAAGCACGTTCTCTTAACAAGTCTTGTGACGGACGTCTGGAGTGTTTCCAGTCTTTGTTATCCTCGTTTGCTCATCTGTACATACTTTGCCAGTTGCTCTCAGTGAGTAAGTTTCTGAAAATGAAGTCACTGAACCAGCAACTTGGTTGCCAGGGGCAGCTTTGTACAAGGCAGGGACGTGGGTGCTCACGCGCTGGGTCCAGCCCCGGCTGTGCCCTGAGCGCCGGGGCGAGACAAGTGAGGATGCGGGGCTGCGTGCTGCGGGGCGCGCGGCAGGGGCGTGGCCAGTGCTGGCGCCCTGTGTTCCGGGCAGGGAGTGCCAAGGGGATCTCATTGGAGTACGAGTTACCAGGAAGGAGAAATCAGCTATTTTCATCATTCGGTATGTTGTTCGTTTAGAAGAGTACGTGAGACATAAATATTTATGCACATTTGACTGTTTTGTTTTCATGGAAGGGTGGAGACAGAGTCCCTGGCCTCCAGAGAGCCCATAATCTCACCAGACAGACCCGAAACAGGTCCCCAGACAGGGACGGCCACTTGTGCCAACGCGTTGCAGGGAGAAGAGTGTGGCTTAAGGTAGGAAGCACTGGAGGCCCTCAGAAGAGCGGGCACGACCGGACGGCTCCTCCCTGTGCACTGGCTGGAGCTGAGGACATCCGAGGCAAACTGGGAGAAACGGGGGGGCCAAAGGCAGTGTTTTCAGAGCTGGGTCAGAAAAGGTTAGAGGCTGAAGGGATGGCAGCAGTGTGTCCTGAGACGAGGAGGTGATCCCAGGGTAGGAGGGGGGACACTTGGTAAAGGCTCAGCAGCCATTGGCAGGGGCGATGGGCCCAGAGTGAGGGACTCCCCCGGGTGGACAGAGGGCAGGCAGAGTGTGCATCTAGGGAGCTGCTGGGTCTCCCGCCCGTCAGCAAGGAAGCGCTGAGCGAGGGCATTGGGAGAAGAGGACACCAGACGGGACAAGGGTGATGGGAAATTGGGGGCAAAGGTGGGCTTGTTTCCGTGGGTGTCTCAAGGTCAGTGGCAGTGTCTGGACCCGGCTGGAGGGGGGCAGCCAGGAAGGCGCGTCCACAGCCCCCCGTGTGCAGGCGTGATCCACGACCTGAGCCACATTCACTGGGGAGTGAAGGGAAAGGGAGAAGAGTGGGGTCACGAGGATGACCCTGGGGAAGGACAGAGGTCACCAAGGTTGCAGGGCTGGGAGGGCAGCATGGCCGTGGAGACGCAGTGGCCGAGCCCCTCACCACCCTGCGCGCGAGGGAACAGGGGGCGGGAATCCCAGCGAAGAGAATCGGAGCTTGTCCCGGCCCCGCCCGTCACTCGGCCGACACTCACTGGGCGCCTGTCCAGGGCCCCATGCTGTTCTCGGTACCGGGATACCGTGAACCGAGTGTCCGTGTGCCTCAGGTGTCACCACCGGTACTGAGGAGAAAACACAGCAGAGGAAGGTGGGGGCTTCCTCTGGATGATCAAGGAAGGCTTTGCCCCAGAGGAGCAATCCTGGAACGGGGAGGGGTCCCTGCGACTATCCGGGGGACCGTTCCACTGGGGGAACCTCTGCTTCCTGGCTCTGTTGCTGGGCCCGCCTCTGTGGGAGGGTGTGACCTCTGATTGGGATGGACTGTGTGGTGCCCCTGTTGTGCTTTCGGCTGGCTGTCAGTGTGAGCAGAGAGCCTGGGCCGCCTTGTCGGGGCAGCCTGCACCCCAAGCTGCTCAGAAGCCCCTGGGGACGGGGACGGGTCCTTCCGCTGGAGCTCAGCAGACTTGCTGGTAACAGCGTTGCAGGTGACTGTCCACACACCTGGTGGCCTCTGACTCATAAGCCAAAGAAATGAGGTTAGTTAATTCAAAAAGGTAGAGTGGCCCATTTCTGTGGGTTGAAATCTAGAGAAGAAACAGAACCGAGGGTTGAGAAGACTCCGCTACCCCTGTGTTGACAGGGGGAGGACCTGTGAGTCACAGAACCAATTCTGTGTTTCTCTCTAATTTGGCCACTTGAGAAGCTTAGCGCCACATTGAGCCGCTTGTTCCCTTACCCGTAACAGGGATGGAGTTTGAAGGCGCCATCATCGCCCTGTTCCACCTGCTGGCCACACGCACCGACAAGGTCCGAGCCCTGCGAGAGGCGTTCTACCGCCAGAATCTCCCCAACCTCATGAATCTGATCGCCACCATCTTTGTCTTCGCAGTGGTCATCTACTTCCAGGTGCGTTCAGACCCAGCGCGTCTGAGTGTCAGCGTGCCTGGCGAGCGCCCCGCTCCCCGCTCCCCCAGGGCTGCTGTGAGCCACCCAGCCCTGCTGACATGGTGAGGCGCACTTTCTGAACGAGCGGGTTCCATGCGAGCTGGACATGTGGGTCCCGCAGAGTCCCGGGCACCTGCCTGAGCTGGCAGAGCTGACGTTTCTGAAACCACGTTCCTTCTGGTTGGGCCTGTCAGCGTTTTTCCAAGGTCTTAGTTCAGAGAAGTGAACAGTAATCAGACTGAAACCCTGTCACTTTTGACCCAGGGTTTGGGTGCGTGTGGGCACGCCCTCATCTGGGGAGGCCTTCCTCTAGACAGCTCTTACCGTCCATGCTGTGCGTCTGGGCCACTCGCTGCTGAGTAAGAGACCTGAACGGCCCATGGCTTTCCTGCAGTTGGGTTTGTCTTCGTGTTTCTGATCAGCCGCTTTGCGCTCTGATAGTTACCGAGAAGGAGGGAGGGTGCTGAGAAGGCAGCTTACTGCTTGTGCAGAGGTGCCTGTGCCACCACGTGCTTTTTCTGAGGACCAAACACATCTGCTCCTTCAGCCGAGACTGGCAGTCAGTTGCCTGGTTCGTAACAAGCTAACTCTTGAGGGCTCGGCAGGTGTTTGTGGCCGGGTTGTTAAGGTTTTACTTTAAATCTTCTATATTCTGAACTCTATTCTTGGCACTGGGATTTTGCAAAGTGTATACATATGAAGGAAGCCCTTCAGTCTCCAAGAGTCTCAGAGGGAGAGGCTGTGTTCATGGAGAAGCCGGAAAGCCTGGCTTCCCTGGAGCGAGGGCGAGCATCCCGGAGGGGCCGAGCTGCGCTGGCGGCGGGTGGCCTCCCTAGGGGCTGCCTGAAGGCTGGGGAGACCCCAGAGAACCACTGGTAGGACTTTGTCCCACCTAGGTGTGGCTGAAACGTGGTGGACTTTGTTTCTTGACAAATAGAATCGTTCATGTGCTGTGCTTGGGTGCCTGCTGCCCGAGTGCCCCCCGTGCAGTGGCCTGGGAGCCCTGGCACCCGGCATGGCGGGGACGAGGCAGTGAGGCTGTTGGCTGTCTGGTTCTCAGGGCTTTCGCGTGGACCTGCCCATCAAGTCGGCCCGCTACCGAGGCCAGTACAACACCTACCCCATCAAGCTCTTCTACACATCCAACATCCCCATCATCCTGCAGTCCGCCCTGGTGTCCAACCTGTACGTCATCTCCCAGATGCTGTCTGCCCGCTTCAGTGGCAACCTGCTGGTCAGCCTGCTGGGCACCTGGTCTGTAAGTACAGTGGCCTCAGGGCCCCATCCGTGAAGTGCTGGGCCCCTGGCCATGTGGGCTGTGGCAGGTGGCGCTGCTGGGTCCCTGTGTGTCCTGCTCCTGACCAACTCAAAGACACTCTTAATTACAAATGCACGTTAAAGTTCCTTTTCAGTCAGAAAACTGTCTTGTGGGCGCCTGAGCAAAACTGTTCTTTCTCATGGCTCGGAGCTGGCCTTGTCTGACGCTCAGGCGGGAGAGGACACTCACAGGCTTTCTGTGACCTCTTCCAGGACACTTCCTCTGGGGGCCCAGCGCGTGCTTATCCAGTCGGTGGCCTCTGCTATTACCTGTCCCCTCCGGAGTCTTTTGGCTCCGTCTTGGAAGACCCCGTCCACGCCGTGGTGTACATAGTGTTCATGCTGGGCTCTTGCGCCTTCTTCTCCAAAACGTGGATCGAGGTCTCGGGCTCCTCTGCCAAGGATGTGAGTATGAACTACAGTTTCTGGGGAGGAAGTTAAAGCCGGAGCCATAGTTCTGGCTGCTGACTGGTGGGGGGTCTCTACTCACCGCGTCCTCTGTGAATGCATGCAGCTCTCCATCCCGGTCAGGGCCAGTTCCAGAGGGTTGGTGGCCAGAGGTGGAGCTGGGATGAATAAGTCAGTGCCTGCCTTGGAGGCCGCAGCCACACTGAAACTAGACCTCACCTGAATTCTTGGTGGCAGTTTTAGAGTTACCTGTGCAAGTGCCGTGAGGGGGCGGGGGGGTGGTCTGTGAGTGAGTGGTGACCCGTGAACCACCCACCTGGCCTTTGATTTCACGTCTGAATCTGAACGTTGTCCCCTTGGTGGGCATCTCGCAGGTTGCGAAGCAGCTGAAGGAGCAGCAGATGGTGATGCGGGGCCACCGAGAGACGTCCATGGTCCATGAACTCAACCGGTGGGTGCTGGCCCTGGGGGCTGGGGGTCCCAGGGCAGGAAAGGTCCCTGGGTCTTTAGATTTCTGTGAGCTTGCTAAGTGCTGGACACTGGAGAATCAAATCAGCACACCTGGCCTCTCACCAGGAGGGAGACTGAAGCATGTGGCTGGACGGTGCTGTGGGATGCTGGACCTCGCTGTGCTTCATGGGCAGGGTTCCACAGGGCACTCTGGGAGAGGGGTGGAGGGTCAGGCTTCTTCACAGGTTGGTGTCCAGCAGGTGAAGCCAGAGAGGGCGGCAGAGACTGCAGGGAGGGGTTGGCGCTCAAGGCCCTGTTAGGAGGCCAGTGCTGGAGGCTGAGATCAGCCAGTTGGGGTGGGGAGATGGCTGGACACTGTGCATCTGGGCAGAGGTGGGGCCACATATGGCAGTAACTTGGGGACACGGGAAAGGCCTCCAGCGTAGGGCAACCATAGGGGTAGGGGAGGGAACGCCTCTCCCTCACAGCAGGGCTGCCTCTTGGTCAGCAGGGTTGGCCAGAGGGTCTGAGACTTTCACGCCAACAACTCACTACTTCTGTGGTCACTGGGAAGTGGTTGCAGGTGACACAGGAAGGAACGAATGTGACTGGTTCCCCGTAAAGCTGTTTACAGGGTCAGATGTTGTAATCAGGACCGAGCCTGTCCTGGGGACCTCAGCCACAGGAATTCCAAATCGTTACCTGTCCCTGTCAGAGCTGGGCAGCTTTGTTCATTCCCTTAGGAATTCTCTGAAGCCTCTCGATTTATAATGCCATTCAGTAGAAATACAGTGCAAACTGCATATTAAATTTTAATTAAGTTTCCTGGCAGCCACATTTGAAAGGTAAAAATACAGACCTACAACTAATAAACCGTTCCGTCTGTTACCTTGTACGATGCATTTAATTTAGCCCCGTAGGTCCAGAATGTCATTTGAGTTGTAGTTAACATAAAAAAGGTCGTAACTCATCTTCTTCAGCATCCCGGGTGGCACTTTCAGCGTCTCTAATCAGACCGGTCCCGTTTCAGTAGCCACGTGTGACTTGTGTGGCCACTTCCTGGACATTAGGATGTGCGAGTGGGTCAGACTTCGTGGGGGACGTGGAGTTGGGTTCTAAATCGAGGTGAGCGGGGCTGGCTGCCCGGCCCTTCCTGTGGCCTGGGTCAGGCAGCTGGGCTGGAGGGGCCTGCGTGGCGGCGCGTGGCTGACCGTCTCCCACTCCCCAGGTACATCCCCACGGCCGCAGCCTTCGGCGGGCTGTGCATCGGGGCCCTCTCCGTCCTGGCAGACTTCCTGGGCGCCATTGGGTCTGGCACGGGGATCCTGCTGGCGGTCACGATCATCTACCAGTACTTCGAGATCTTTGTCAAGGAGCAGAGCGAGGTCGGCAGTATGGGGGCCCTGCTGTTCTGAGCCTGGCTCCCGGAGCGGCGGGCACAGCGAAGCCTCAGCGCAGGGCACTGCTGCGGCGTGAGGACTTGGTTTCCTGACGCATTTGATCCTTTCATTCCACTTCCTAAAGTGCTAGAAACTTTCCAGTTTGAAATTTTGCTTTTTATTCTGGCATTGGCATCCGGACTGTAGAAGAGAGGTCTTCTTCCGCTGACTGCCAGAGATGGGGACGGGGGTGGCTCCCCGGGTCCGTGTAAGTTCTGTTTTGACCTTTGCACCTTCTCAGTGCTGTCGGCTACTGCAGTGGTCTCAGCCGTTTCCCCGGGGGACTGTCCTGCTGGTTAGAAGCACAAACATTGCTGAAGGGTCTGCGGCTCGTGTGGCGGGAGGGTGAGAGGCAAGCAGATCGTGTTTTCTGGGGCGAGTGGGCTTTTCGCCAGTGCGTCCCCTTCAAACCAGGGCGGGAACATCTGGCTTAAAACTTTTTTTGAAAGACATGGTTGTTTTCCCTTTTAAAAGTAATTTTTCAGGATAGCGCTTCTTCCAAAAGAGAGGGACGAATTTCCAGATGATACTCTTGGGCCCTCGGTTTTTCTGCCTGTGCCCGTTGGCTGTCCAGTCGGGCTCTGGGGCCGAAAAGCAGCGCGGCGGCCCGGCCCTGCCGGCCCTGTGCCCATGCAGCCCGTGTCCTCTGCCCGCAGTGCCGCGGCTTTGTGGCGTCACGCCCGCCTCGCCGAGCGCTCGGACGCTGTGCGGAGGACCCCGGGGGAGCCGCCTGTCCGGTGGTTCTGGCTCTCACTGGGCCTGCTTCCCGTGCTGGATCCCCTCCTGCTCGCCGTGCTGAGGGGAGGCTCCGTGACTGGCCTCAGATGCTACCTGCTAGGCTGAAGACTTCCCAGTCGAATGTTTAGAACTTTTAAAATGTGCTTAGGACCAAATGCAAGTAAAGTAAATGGCACAAGGCCTCCATCCTCTGCTTTCGCCAGGACCGCCCAGCAGAGCGGAGGGCACAGGCCCAGACCCATGGTGAAATCAAGTTTCTCCAATGTTTGTTATAAAAAGACTCACAGTTATGTCTATAATAAGTCCTGTTCACAGTAACAGGTGACCTAGGTCTTAGAAATCAGAACCCTTCCTAAAGCCTCTGGGGAGTCCTGTCTTGGGGACCGGCAGCAAGGACAGAGCCGGGCGGCGCAGCCTGAGGGGTTCTCACGGAGGACACCCCAGGTCCAGGACGGGAGATCCAGGGGCTTGTGCAGCCCTGTGGAGATACCCCACCAGCAGCAGGTGCACAGCGGCTTTCGAAGCACAGAGCCAGGAGAGGTGGCAAGCGTGGCACCTGCCTGAGTCTGGAGGGGCTCCGAGGAGACCTCACTGGCTGTGCCAGCCAGGGGACCCTGCGAGGGACACAACGCAGCCTTGCCTGACACTACCCGCGAGTCAGCTGCAGAGCCAGGAAGGCCCGTGGACCCCAGGCCCGGGCACCCACCATACCACACGTGGCCTTGTCCGACCCAGTCCTGAGCGGAGACCTGACACCAGCCCCCACAGTCTGCTCGCCTGCCATGGGGACCCCGTGACGGCCTTGGGCTGGCAGCGCCGCCAACCCCAGGACCGCAGGCCCCGCGGGAGGCGCCCCGCAGCCCTGCTGCAGCCTCCGACACTGCATGGCCCGGGCCCTGCTCCACGGTGACTGGTCACGGTGGGCGGGGGCTGGCTGCAACTTCCAGGGGACTGTCACTGTGGACGCCAAAGCGGCAAAACTGAGATAAGGTGAAAAAGAGAAATAAAGCCAACTTTTTACAAGCTGCTTGGTGGTGGTGTCTTGGTTTTCAGTTTCTTGTGTTGACGAGAATGCCAGTGAGAGGAGGGCGTGGGCTAGGGTGCGGCGCCCTTCAGGGTGTGGGAGGCTTGGGTCCTGGTTCTGCCCGGGGCTCCCCTTGATGCAGGGAGTTTGTGAGTCGTGGGGAAGTGGGTGAGCTTCCCATTG